GGGTTTTACTACATTGCCCAGCTTGGCCTTGAACTTGTGATGCTCCTGCCTCAACCTCAAGAGTAGCTGGGATTACAGGCCACATCAGGCTTAGGTTACCTCTTTCTATGTGAGGACAAAGTTGGAGAAAACCTCATTAACATGCCAGTTGAAACTGGCCTGTTTAGAAAATTTGGCTGTTATCTTTCATTCTCCTCATTTCTTGGAAGGTCAGATAAACAGCTTAGTTTGGGTTTGGTACTTAAGCATGAGTGACTCCATTTTGATTTTTAGTCTAGTCTGTTGGGGCCTAGTACAGGAACCTAGATCAAACAATGGCCTCCTGTAAGTATGATCTGACGATCCATTATTGAAAGGCAGTGTGGTGTAGCAGTTAAAATCCAGAGAGCAGTGATTACAAGAGAAAGTGAATTTTGCCCACCAGATGATATCTGAAGGCAATTTTAGTTGTTACAATTGGAAGAAGGATGCTATAACTCCTAATAGGGAGATCATGTAAGTTGCTAAGCATCCTACAATGCACAAGACAGCCCTCCACCACAGAGACTGATTTGGTTCAAAATGTCAATCATGCCAAGACTGAGTATCTCTGCTCTAAACGCCAGATGCTCAGGTTCAAATCCCAACTTCCTATATGACTTCAAGCAAGTTATGGAAGCACTTTGTGCCTCAGGTTCCCCATCTGTAAAATGGGGACTAGGATAACACCTGCTTTGCATGAGTGCTGCAAGAATTAAATGAGCTCCTACAGGGTGATCAGTCTATGTCAATTGCTTGATAACCATTAGCTGTTATTTGTTCAGAAAATCTTTCTAGAGCACTTACTTTGTAGCAGGCCCCATTCTAGGCACCACCAACATAGTAGTGAGCAAAGCAAATAAGTTCCCTGTCTTCACAAAACCTACATCCTGGTGTGGTTGGGGTGAGCAACTTAAAAAAATATATCCATGATGACAATCAAGCAGGGTTTGTAGAGACTGACTGAGGCTGGGACATCGTGACCTGAAACTGGATTGCTATAGTTTGGATCTTAAAAGTCCTCCAAAGCCCTTCTGCTGAAGACTTTTTCCCCTAAACTGGTGATATTGGGAGGTGGTAAAAATTTTAAGAGGGGAGGGCCTAGTGTGGAGTCTTTAAGCAATTGGGGGCATACTTTTGAAGAAGACAGTGGGACCCCAGCCCCTTCCTCTCTTTTTCACTTCCCCAGCCGTGAAATGAATAGTTTTTTGTTTTTTGTTTGTTGTTGTTGTTGTTGTTGTTTCCCACAATAGTTTTGTTTCACCCACAGGCCCAAAGCAACAAGGTCAACCAATCATGGACTATAAAACCTTCAAAATTGTGAGCCAAAATAAATCTTTTCTCTTCACAAGTTGATTATCTCAGATATTTATCATAGGACAGAAAGCTGACTAACATGTATGATGCAAAACCATGACACTCATTGTTAAAGATCATCACTCATCTGATTGTAGATGGTCAGGGCTCTGATCTGAGGAGGGGCCATGGGCCAAGCTCTGAGGTGAGGGTGAGGCAAGAGAAGTACCAACTTTGAGTATTAAATGTAAGAGACTACCAAAAAATTCAGCAATAGAGATAGCATTTTAGTGCAATTGTAGGGGGAGGTGGTTTGAGGATTAAACCCAGGGCCTGTGTATGCTAGGCAGACACCTTGCCTGTGAGCTACATTCCCAGCTCCCTAATGCAATCTTTTTTTAAATAAAAAGCCATAAATTTATTGCAAATATATAAGTATTAGAATGTCACCAATACAGAACAAATCTGCAATCTTGTTTTTATTTTCTTCCAGATATTTCAAGTCTTGATCATTGACATACAGAAATTATCATATGTATTTTTTTCTCATGCAGTTAACAGAATGGACATAGAGCAGAGTCCTCAAAAATCAGATATAAATATTAAATTGCAATGGACATTTGTATTATCAAATACATTGCAAAGTTCTGAAGTCATGAAGTCTTCAAACCACCACAAGCTCAGAGTCTTCTCGAGCAGTGACAGAGATCAGCTACCTCTACCTTGTTTTAGGAGTATCTGTTTTTGATACTTTGTCCTTTCCTCCCTCACACTCCACAAAGTTTTACAGATTCTCTTATTTCTATGGCTGATAAAATGCTGCACAAAAGGTAGTCAGTGTTGATGAGCTATGCCACTTTCATTTCAGTACAGAGGAAAATTCAAGTTTGTTTGTACCTGCAACCAAACTAGGCTGGTTATATTTTTCCCCTGAGTTGTCATAAATTAACAGTAAAGATGAATAATGTTGGAGCAGCAAGCATTGAACATCACCAATAGGGTGAGATTCAGGGAAATGGGTGAGAAAACAGCCCACTTCTTATCCTCTCTATGGAACACTACTAAAATGAGAAATACTTCACATGTTGTGTATGTGACATCAAAACAATGATGGCCTAAGGCAACTTAGAAGAATCAAATTCCACTTCAGATGAAAATTGCAACTTGTAACACAAGTTACAAGTATAGTGATAACATAAATGTCTCTGCTGCTCCCAAATGAAATACAGTTAAATTTTTAAAAATCAGAAATGCTTCAACAATTCAATGAAATATAATTTTGATCAAAGAATATCCTCAAGTATTTGTAGGTGATCAAAGAGATTATCTTTTAAAAGCTAAGGTGATTTACAGTCTCTACAGTGAACAAAATATCCAACTTGTAAATAAGACAGCATCAGTATTACTGACATTTTCCTGTGGTCTCAGACTCCATTATGACTGACATTGGGCTCCTTGGCACTTACGTCAAAAGTATACAAAACGCCTCAAGTTCAAGAAAGGAAATACCATTGCTCCAAGACATAGGCTAGTTCTTGGGAAGAGAGGCAGTGGGTTTGGTTAGCTTCTTTTTTGATTTGTGTATATATGTGGCTAGCTGGCTTTTTAGGCACCTCCCTGCCAACACTATAAAGAAGCTTTTTGAAGGTCAGCACACAGGGAAAAGTTTGCACCTGACCCATTAGTGTCCTTTGGTGTAATACCCCTTATTGGCATTCAGGGGCCCACTCCCAGCTTCTAGTTCTCACGCTGTCTTTAAAGATCACAGTCTCTTCCAATGGTGTCTCTACAGAGGCCTCACTGGCTGCTAGGCCAGGAGGGCCTGAGGAGGCAGGTTGTTATTGTACAGGAAGTATGAAGGTGCCACCCAGACCCACCCACCTGCCAATTATTTATTAATTTCCTGTGCATGCATACCTAGGTGACAAACATTCAACTCGGTTCCCGACCCCTATGAGTATATGACCCAAAAGAAAGAAAACCCACCAACCAGATAATTCCCATGTTTCCAGCTCCAGCCCAGACCTCCCCACAGGCTCCAGACCCTCATAGCCAACTACCTAGACACTGGCTTGTGGGAAGCCATCATCGCATGTGATTTGAGTTACCTCCCTGGCTGGGCGAGAGGCACTTAGACACATCCTTGTGTCCAGAGCTTTCCTCACCCTTCTCAGGTCCAAGGGCTTGTCCGTGTGGGGGCATGTCTGGCCACTACCCCGAAGATGCCCCTGACCTTGAATGCTGCCCGTCTTAATCTTCATTGGATAGGATTTTCCCCAGAAATTGTTCCCCAATAAAAGTCCACTCCCTGGCGTGTTCTCTCTCTCCCTCCCTCCCCCCGCCCCCTCTCTCTCCTCTTCAGTAAACCTCACTACCACAATAAGTGGCTGGAGGCTGGAGCTAGGAGGAGCCATCCTGGAGCTGATTTAAAGGTAATTAGAGTCTTGTCTCTTTAATTCATAACTCCCTAGAGGTTTCTCACATTTCGAACCTTCATTCACGAAGCCAGTGCTGGTTGCAGGCTAAACTGGCTCACCTTGGGTAGCCCATGGCCACCTCCAACACCTCACCATCTGTCATCTTCCTCAGCACACCTGGCCTCTGGAACACCTTCTCAGTTGTGCAGGCCAGAAATCCAGAGTTAACCCCAACCCCATCTTCCTCTCACTTCTCATTTATAAAGGGTCACCAAGTGAAGACAACGTTCACCTCCTAATTACCTTTCCAGTCAAGGGACAGTTCTTATCTCTGCAATCACCTTGGACCAGCAGTTCTCAAAATTCTGGGGAGCTGACAAGACCCTGATACACTCTTAAAAATTACTGAGGACTTCAAAATGCTTTTGTCTATGTGGTTTATACTTAAAATTTTAATTATATTGTTATTTGTTGTATTCAAAACCACAACTTTGGGGCTAGGGTTATGACTTAGTGGTAGAGCTCTTGCCTAGCACAAGTGAGGCACTGGGCTCAATCCTTAGCACCACATAAAAAATAAATAAGTAAAATAAAGGTACTGTGTCCCTCTACAACTAAAGTATATAAATATTTTTTTAAAAACATAACTTTGGGAATGTTTAAATAATTATTTATTAATATATTTAAAAATAACAATAACAACAGACCCTCATTGTTATACAAAATTACATATTTTGTATAACAAAATACAAAATGTGA